TTTTTTTTTTTTTTTTTTTTTTAAATGCAATGCATTGTTAATTTGTGGAATTCATTGCCACAGGATGTGGTGGAGGCAGACAGCATAGCTGGGTTTACAAACAGGACTGAATAAAGTCACAGGTGATAGATTTATTAATGGCTAGTGAACAAAACAGTTGGAAACATTTCCTCTGGTATCTCTAAACCAATAACAGAAGATGCCAGGGAGGGTATTGAATAGGGGGTAGTTCACACTAGATAAATCCCTGGCTGGATTGCTCAAAGGGTAGTAAATCAATGGCTTGATACCTAGCTGACTGCCAGTATTAACTGGAGTGCCCCAGGGATTAGTCCTAGGGCCTGTATTTTTAAACATATTTATCAGTGACCTGAAAGATGGGATGGAGTGCACTCTCAGTACATTTGCAGATGACCCCAAGCTGGGGGGAGTAGTAGATATGCTGGAGGATGGGGCTAGGATTCAGAGAGGCCTTGACCAATTACTGTATTGGACCAAAGGTTCAATAAAGTCAAATGCAAAGTCCAGCATCTAGGATGGAACAATCCCGAGCCTCAGTACAGGCAGGGAACTGACTGGCTAAGCAGCAGCTCTGCAGAAAAGGACCTGGGAGTTACAGTGAACAGCAAGTCGAACATAAGCCAACATTGTGCCCTTGTGAAGAAGGCTAACAACATACTGGGCTGCATTATTAGGAGCACTGCCAGCAGACTGAGGGCAGTGATTCTACCCCTGTATTCAGCACCAGTGATACCACAGCTGGAGCACTGTCCAGTTTTGAGGCACCCACTACAGAAAGGATACAGACAAATTGGACAGAGCCCAGTGGAAGGCAGTGGAAATGGTTAGGGGGGTTGGGGAACAGGACTTCTGAGGAAAGGCTGAGGAAGTGGGCTTGTTTAGTCTGGAGAAGAGAAGATGCTAGAGAGTATTTAAAAACAGCCTTCAGCTACCTGAAGAGTTGTTCCAAAGAGGATGGATCTCGATCTAGATTGTTTTCAGTGGTGGCAAATGACAGAACAAGAAGCAATGGTCTCAAGTTGCACCAAGCGAAGTTGAGGTTACATATGAGGAAAAGCTTTCTTACTAGGAGGGTAGTAAAGCACTAGAACAAGTTACCCAAGAGATGATGAGGAATTTCCATCCTTGGAGGTTTTTAGAAAAATACAAGACCTGGAACATATCACATGATGAATCATATAGCTCTGAGGCCAGTTAAGTGCTGAGCTCTTGTTAATGAGCTGTTAATGGCTAAAGGGAAATAGGAATTGATGTCCTCCAGCCACAACTATAATGTGCTGTGTTCAAAAGGATGCCTCTGAGCATAGCACACTCACAGTAGTCACTCATTTGGCTGTATGCTCATTATGTATCCATTCACTGCATCAAACACTTACCTAGATCAACTGCGTATACTACACTGAACACTGAAACCATCTGTATTTGCCTCTGAACGCTTCCTTAAAATAAAGAGTTCTTTTTTTAGGGTTAAATATGGTACTTTACAGAAGATTCGGTAAGGAGAATTCCTATTTCCAAGCTTAAACCAGGTGCAAGAAAAGGATGAAATTCGTATGTGGAAGGCTCCAATTTCAGATATAAACACCCACAGTACACTGCACCTGAAGGCTCTCTTCATGTAAAACAACAATTCTGCATTTAAACAGATGCCTAAGCACTTGAAACATCATTGTCTTGTCCCTTCAACAGGCCTCTGACCTCTTGAGCACTCAATAAGTGTTCTTGTGAATTAATCTGGGAGTTTGATCCCACTGATCTGGATCTTAGGCTTCAACAGGAATCTCTTACATGGCTTTTCAGCGGCTTATATGGCATACCTTTATTGCTCATTGTGCACTGTAAACAGCACTTACCATAAAAATTATCTTGTGTGAGACCAAGGGAGAAAGTATCAACTGGTGTCCCCGTTGCCACTTGAAAAACAGGTGTCGAATACTTGTCTCAGTAAAACAAGCCTTGTGATCTCGCAAAAGGTCTCTAGTAACAAACTTACAGTGATTGCCTGAATGAAGAGTGGCGTACAACAGAAAGGGATCATCCTGTGATCTTAATAAACCAAAAATAGAAAGCAGAGATATCATACATGAGGCAGGAAATGAATTAAGTGTTGACATGAATTTCATTCATAATCATTAACGAAAACTCTCCTCATCACTAAGCTTGCTTTTAACAAGAACTTTTCCCCTTAGTTATGAGTCATCTAATGTTAGGCAACTGTTGCCCATTCTATTGAGAAGAGTGTTTTCCCTTCCCATCAAAAGGACAATACAGGCAACCCCTGCTTAGCAGTCTTAATTCGTTCCTAGAAAAATGAGTGTTAAGCAAAATGAATATTAAGCGAAACTGAAAGTATTTGACAACCCAAGATGGCGACCGTGAGCATTATAGCAAAACTTGCTGAGCACTAAGGAAAATCAGGTATCAAATGAGTGTTATAGTGAAACAGCGTTAAGTGAAACGGCGTTAAGCGGGGGTTGCCTGTATAATGAAACAGCCACTTGCCACATGACTTAACAGTAAATGGCTACATTTAACAAAAGCCCAGCTTGCTCCTTCAGGGGCATCATGGTCATATACAAAATTGTAACAAAACTATCCATATCAATTCTAATATTATAAAAGCCTAAGTCTTTGTCTGTCTGTCATGCATTATTCACGCTCTGATTGGCTGATGGAAACAGACAAAGCGCTTGCAGCATTGGGGAATGCCACCATAATTCCGAAGCTGTGCTGAGGACCCGATGGAGGGTATAGGAGCTGAGGCCAGCACTGCTGGCCTCGGCTCCCCCACCCTGCTCCCTGCAAGAGACAGAACAGCAGCAGCATGGGGCATTAGGTAGCAGCACTCCATCCCAGCCCACCCCCTCCCATCATTCTTGATGAGCAACTGGCTAGTAACTTCATATGATCATATAATTATACACACCTCCAGTTTCATTTGTACAGCATAACTGCAACTTAGCTTTTATGATGAAGGTTTTCCTAGAAGGTCTAAGATTTTTCATACAGCATACTAAGCTTCAGCTTTCATGGAATCACTGCATGTTTGGGGAGATTCTCTCAAGATGTCACCTGCATTGGTCATACTCTGTAGAAGAAAGGCATGCCTGCCTGCACTACATTGTACAGCCAGGCATGCCAATTCCACCATAACTCTTACTAGTTCAACTCTAATGTGCATCCTAAAAACAGATGTGTGGGGCAGTTCTACCTGGTGAAGGTGGCATCTGTCTCTAGGCTGCTGCCGCTGCCAGAGTGAATCTGCCATCTTAGTTTTCAGGAGGCACACTGGAGCTGAACAGGGAAGAGCTGCAGCAGAACCAGTAAGCCTGTCTGCCTGATGAAATGCAGGCAGGCATACCCTTCTCTTGCAGCCAATTCTCACAGTTTGGCTGTAAGGTTGTTCCTGAAAACAGAGGCATGCAGGACAGTTCTACCTGCCCTGCACACCTCTGTTTCCAGGAGACTCTGTGCAGGTCAGACCAGAAAGGGCTACAGCAAAAGCACATGTTCCTGCCACAACCATTTCCTGAACTGGATCTCCAGGAGAAGCATTACACAGATCCATCTGGCTGTGGCAGTGATGCCAGTGACAGAGAGCATACAATGACATTACCTTGGCCGGTACCCTCCCCCTTCCTGAACCTTGTATGTCCTCTCGCCCACTGTGGCCGGACCGTGCCCTATGCAGCTGTGACACTCTCTGGGCAGTGTGGCTTCTACCCAGCTCAAACTCTAATATAGCCCTTCCTTGTTTGTTTGCCCACCATGCCTTGTTCTCATGGGAGATTATGTAAGGGAGGCTGCCTGCGGGCTTTAGAAACAGCTTTAGTTTGTGGTGATCACATCACCACCTAGTCCCTCCTGGACCCCACTTGTCTCATTGCAGCCCTCAACTTCAATGGGCCCTCCTGGCCTGTCTGTTCTTCCACAGGGCACTTGTAGCCTTAAGGGCCAACTGTGCATCTGTCCCCTCCCAGGCACCCAAAGCCTTAAGGCCTCCCTGCACCCCAAAGAGCCTTGAAAATGCTAGTCACCAAATCTCCTGTTCCTGGTTCCTATGACCAGAGCCACAGCACCCACTGGAAGCAATACAGGGCAACTTAAGATGACCTTCCAATAATTAGATACTTTACATGGAAAATAAGCAATATATATATTTTCCACTTATAGAATCTAATTGGGGGGGGGGGGTCCATCTTATAGTTGGTTATCCTGGATTTGCGTAAATGCAGTAATACTGATGCCTTGAGCTGCAAGAGAGAGAGTCTGGCATGTGTGGCCAGTGGAAATAAGGTACTGAGTTGCACATGCAGCTGACAGGGCTGCAGTGACAGGGCACTGAGGTATGTCTGTCCCTTTAAAACGGCAAGCAGCCTGAGAGGTGGCTTGCAGGTAGGAAGGGGGCTGGGATTGAGCCATATAAGCTCAACACCTGAGCCAGTCAGGCAGTCTAGCTTGGAGAGCCTTGAAGGTAGGAGCTCCTGATAAGAGCAGCAGGGCTCCTGAATGTAAAGTGAAACCGGATAAGAAACTCGGCTGGCCTGGGAACAGGGGAAGCTGCCTGGGGCAGAGAGAGACTTTTGATGCAGGTAAGTGGCCTTGTTTTGTGTTTAACCTAGAGAGAGTTTAGGGGCTGGCTGCCAGAGGGCTAAGATGCTTTTTATTTAAGTTGTACTAGTGGTTTAGTCTTGAGCCCTACTTGGTGGCTCAAGGCATACTTGGAAAACTGGTAGCCCAGAAGGGCTTGGGGAGACCCCCCAAGGGTCCAGGAGCTCTGGGAGGAGCTGCCAGGGGGACCAACATCCAGAAGTCCAGCTCATGGTCCAGAAGACATCTGGCTCTGGCAGTGCCTGGCTGCAATCCCAACTGGCTCAGGAGCATAGGCTCCATCACTGAAATCAGTGGTTTATGACATCCAGTGGGAAGTGTTGCACTTTTGTCTCCAAATTGGATGTTTTCATGAAACATGCCCAAGATCTTTTGCAACCTTTAACAGCCTTGCTTTTTAATGTCAAAGCTCCCACAGTGAGGATCCCAGTTTTCCATATTGGTGTTTGTGCCACTTCCCTTGCTTTCCTCATGAAGCGGTCCTGGTGGCATTTTATTCTTTCCCCCAATCTCCTGACAGCTCTCACAGCATCTGCTACTACTTTCTCTTCCTCTCCGACTCCTGTTTGCCTAGACCAGTGGTTCTCAACCTTTTTAGATTCAAGACACGCCGTGTTAGACTCAAAGCACCCTTCAGAAAATGCCAGCTCTTAGCTTTCACTTGTTTCTTGACTACAGAAAAATAATAAAGAACTCACAAGGACCACAACAGATCAGAATGTTTCTGCCATATAGAGTCCTACTTAAAATCTCTGGGTTTATTTTGTGAATCTTATGTAGTGTTTGCACAACTAACAGTGCTAATACTGCACAGTATCCAATGGTTCCCTTAAAAGGTTCTCAATGCACCATAGCATGCTGCAACAGCCTGAGAATTACTGATCTAGGCACTGGGCGCTGCCAAAATCAGCCACAAAGCATTGGTCAATACTGGCATTCACAGACAGGTTCTTGCCACATTCCTTCCTGTCAGCTGGCCGACGTACAAGTTTTCAGCTAGTGTCCCTGGCTGCTCTGTACCAACACATGAGGTCTTTTGTTTGGGCCTTGTGCCATGCTGCTAGTTCCAAACAGCCAACTGCCTGGAAATAAGATATTGTGGCTGTAGTAACTTTAGTCATGGCCACCTGTATCTTGTTCTCTCCCCCATAGGCAATAATGAGATTGAAAAGTCGCTTCTGCTGCCAGAGTACCTACAGCTATGAGAAGTTCTCAAAGCTGAAAGGAGCAGGGCTCTCCAAAGGAAGTTCCCAGGTTCCTTTGCTTTTCTCAATCGAAGTGAAGTCACTTCGCATGATTGAAGTACTGCATTTGTCCAGGCCCTTAGAGTTTCATAATAATGACAGTTAAGTCTTACAAGGAGCTGTTTTCCACAAATGAAAATCTAGCTTTGATTTCCAAACACTTGCCATTTGCTTTGATACTTACACATTTGCAGTAAAAAAGAAATCTACTTTCCTCTGCAGGGCAGTCACTGCATTCCCATTCCAGGTTTGAAATCCCTTCATCAAGTGTTTTCGGCTCAGCACAAGCAACCGCAGATTCTGCTGTGCGAAGTAGGAAATAACATCAAATAGCTGCAGGAAACAAAGCAAAGGAACAATGTTCTTAGCTTTAAAAACCAAAAAGACAGGAAATATTTTTTCTTTCCTGTGTCTTCAGTCATGGGGCTTCTTTCACATGCTGTGATGTTCTGCCACAAATCTTTCCTATGCTCAGCAGTACTTCAGAAACTCTCGCTGACATCCATAAGCATAAAAAATAACTAATTGATTAAACAGGTCATTTTAAATGCATTGCCAAATATGCAGAGAGAAAAACATACTGTTTTACTCTTTTTGCAATGTTCGTGTGTGTGCGTGCACGTGTGCAGCGCTCCCCCAACAGCTAGAGTCAAATGGGAGATTTAAGCTACCTCAGTATTTGTATGCCAGTCCTAGAAGTCCTGTAGAAGTGAAGCCCTAGGTCTTAGGGAAGGAAATGAGGAAAGTCTGACTTATTAAGTCTACAGTGCTCTGGTAGCACCAGGTACTGCAGTGATTACGGAAGTACAACTGGTGCTGCTCTATAAAGAAGAAGAAAGAAAAACTATAAAAAGGGAAAAGTATGAGTTTGGGATTAAGGATTTGGTGGAAATCTTATTTGGGCGTGCTTTCCCAACTATAATAAATCCTGAGGTGGCAAAAGTTGCCATTTTGGCAAATTCTCTACTGAGGGATCTTACACCACTTTGGTGTGCAGTCTGTACAGCTCTACCCTGTGGCTGGGATCAGATGACTAAGAATCAAGGAACCATAACCAATTCCCATGGCCTTCCTTTTCTATTATACCTAGGCAAGGCTCATGCAGAGTAGAGAACCTGGCTTTAAGTATACCAGATTAACTGCAAGGTTCAGAGAAACTTGTCTGCCTATGTCCCTAGGCCAACACGGCTACAACCTATAAAGATCAACTGTAAAGGATTATTAACCTATTGCCTAGAAAAGAAAGAAAATTAGCTTCTGAGACAATAGCATATAGCCCAGAGCCTGAGGACTGACACACACTCTGAGAGAAAGTCAGCTGCTTTAATTCTTTACTGACATTGCTTCCAGTCAGTCAATATTCATTACTTACCCTTCTAATTTTCCTCCACATTCCACTTTCCTATCCTGCTTCTCTCTCTTCTTTCTTCCAGTCCTGCCTTCCTGGTCCCTTGGTTTTCCCACCTCTTCCCCATGATCGTATTCAACAGGCTCCTTTCTCTCTGGGACAAGAAGAGTTCACTACATAGCTAGTGAGAGAGAGCACTAGAAGTAGGTATTTTGTGAGTGACTGATTGCCTGGTTATCTAGTTGTTGCTAGCAGTAGCACTACTAACTCTGAGTATGCAAGTTAACACATAGATAAATAGAGTCTATACACTACACTGCTAAGAAGTGCAATTTAACAACGGCCAAGAGAGCTAGCTGCCATGTGCAGACTAGGGTAAACATCCAGCACAGTTATTTCTTTGCATGCTTTTCGTTTTCTTGCATGTTCTAGTAGAAAGAAATAGCATATACTACAGTTAGGCAATAACCTCCTCCCTAAAGTGATGTATTTCAGAAAATTTGCTTTGGGGTACAGAATAGAAGGGCATAACAATATCAATTGAATTATTTTTGCAACAGAGGAGAGACTGCCAGATTAAATATATTTTGAAGCAAACCATTCTCCTTATTCCTAACTTCCTTATTTCTTACTAATAGTATTTTGTTAGGTTTTTTTTTAATACACCAACAATACTAAAATTCATTAAAGTTAAATTTTTTATTTTCCCATTATTTAAATAGTCTACATTTTCCATGACTTGACTACACATGGAAAAACTTATTGGTCATTTTCAGCTTTCCATGTACTGGCCCAGGGCTGGAATAATTAGGATAGAAAACCTGAAGAACATTTTCAGATTTTCTCCAAATTGTCATGGGAGAAGAAGAACATTTTGGTGGCTTTCTAACAGCTGATTTTACATCTATGGCCAGATTCTATGCTGCCAGGACAGCGTTACTCCTCGGTAGTGATATAAGTCACTTAAAATTTTGACTCTTAACTTCTAAGCCAAAAAAGTTTAACTCTTCTTTTTGCCAGTTGTGTTACTTCCATTCAAATGTTTGTTTGTTGATTGTTACTACAGTCTCATATAACCAACCATTTCATATGGTCCTTTCATTAGATACACCCCAGGGAATTATGCACAGAAAAATTCAAAGTTACATAATGAGTCTTGGGGGCTGCACATGGTAGCATGGGGCCAGCCTGGCCTGGCCCACACGTCTGGATCAGACTAGGCTGGTTCTGTGCCGGCATGTGGGGCTTGTGACTCCCACCTGCAATGCCATGCTATTGGGCCGGGTGGGTTTCATGCCTCCACATGGGGTTTCCAGCACTCCAACGGGAAGCACATGTGGAGGCATGGAGTCATGCGCCATCAGGCTGGGCTGGCTCCATGTCTCTATGTGCAGCTTCCTGCTGGAGTGCTGGAAGCCCCACATGGAGGCATGGAGCCAGCTGGCCTGGCAGCGCACAGATCCCACCAGAGGTGTTGTGAGCCCCATGTGCTGATATGGAGCCCACTTGGTCTGGTTCAAAGGTGTGTGCCAGTTGGCTGAGCAGTTGCAAGGGGGGGAGGGCACCCCCACATCCCATCCTCCAGGCAGGAGTTCTCCTCCCCACTCACCAGCTGTTCAGTTGTGTGCCACCATGCTCGGTACCTCCACATGGGAGGTGGAGGCACAGAACCTGCCCAAGTTAAAAGATGCAAAATTATGTGCAATCATATGTTTTATACACAGAATTGCCAGGTGTATAATTGTGCTATTCCCCAGGGTGTAAGTAGATCCCCAAACTTTTTTTTTTAAGCATGAGTTCTTCAGAGAAGGCTATATCACTTTAATAAAGCACTGTGCTCAAGGCATTCCTATATAGTAGAATTAAGTGTGCATAGTGACTTTCAAGAAATGAAGTCTGGCTCTAGGTAGAGTGGGCTGAGAGCAGCAGAAAAAGATTTCTGAGTAATCCTAGATAGCAAATGGGGCTCCCTTTCCTAGTTATTATGAGCTACAGTGTTGAGTACATGGTTGTTGTAACTAGCAGCTTCTTCAAGGTAATCTGCAGAGGAAAAGGAACCAGACTTGTTTGAGAGGTGCTTGCTTGCGCACTCTTTTTTTTTTTTTCTTTTTTAGTTCTTTATAGTTGAAAGGTCCCCTCCCCTATCTAAGTTTTAAAGCTGGTCTACTCACAACTAGCATCCACCTTATTTTAATTTATACTTTTTAATGTTTTGGTGAAAGTTTGTGAGTAGACACTTACTTTGGAATTAAAGTCTTAAGTTAGATCTTCACCCACTGAAGCAGTACACCAGGCTTTAAATAAAGGGTGTGGTTTTAAACAGAGATATACAGTGTGCAATGTACCCATACAGTTATACCAATTTAGCTGCAAGTATGATCTTATGGTTTCTTATTTAAAAAAATATCTGATATATCAGTTTAAATCTGGCATATATTGGTTTAGCTTATGCCTATGTAACTTTACAGCATATTTAAAAATAAGTTTGCTCTTATTCTGAAATAAGTGTCCTCATAAAAAATCAAAGGTGTAAATAGCACATTTTTTTTTTTTTTTTTTTTTTT